CGCCTGGTCCCCAATATTTCAAAATTATCTCGTGTCATTTTTCTCTCATTTGTGTGCGGCTCCTCTTTTCAGATCCCGAACCCTGATCCACGCAGGACGTGGAAGGAAACACTCAACAGTGTATAAAAATGCCATACATTCTGGGTGTTAATCTTGTATCCTGCTATGTTGCCAAATTCATTTATTCAATTTAGAAGTTTTTTGGTGGAGTCTTTTAGGTTTTCTATGTACAATAGCATGTCATCTGTGAATAATGATGACATGATATTGAAAGGAGTTTTACCTCCTCCTTTCCAATTTGGATGCCTTTTATTTTTTTCTTATCTGATCACTGAAGCTAGTACTTCCAGTACTATATTGAATAATAGTGGTAAAAGCGGACATCTCTGTCTTGTTCCTGTGCTTAGGGGAAATGGTTTTAGTTTGTGCCCATTGAGTATGATGTTGACTGTAGGCTTGTCATCTACGGCCTTTATTATGTTGAGGTATGACCCCTCCCAGTTTGCTGAGAGTTTTCATAAAAAAAGGATGTTGGATTTTGTCAGATGCTTTTTCTGTGTCAATTGATATGCTCAATGTGATTTTTGAATATTGTACCAGCCTTGCATCCCTGGAATAAAGCCCACTTGCCCATGGTGTATGAGCTTTTAATGTACTGCTGGATGCAATTTGCTAATGTTTTGTTGAGGATTTTAGCATCTATGTTCATCAGGAATATTGGCCTGTAATTGCCTTTCTCTGTAGTGCCTTTATCTGGTTTTGGAATTAGGCTAAGCTAGTCTTGTAAAAAGAGCTTGGAAGTGTTCCTTCCTTTTGGATTTTCTGGAATAGTTTGAGGAGGATAAGTGTTCTTTTCATATTTGATAAAATTCCCCTATGATGCCATCTGGACCGGCTTTTGTTTGCTGGAGTTGTTGTTGTTGTTTTTTAATTACTGTTTCAGTTTCATCAGTAGTTATGGGCCTATTCAAGTTTTCTGATACTTCCTGATTGAGTTTTGGAAGACTGTATTTTTCTAGGAATATGTCCATTTCATCCAAATTGCCCAGCTTGTTGAAATGTAATTGTTCATAGTATTTTTTATTTTTATTTTTTACAATCCTTTGTATTTCTGTGGGGTCAGTGTTACTTCACCTCTTGTTTCTGATTTTGTTTATTTGGGTCCTCACTCTTTGTTTCTTAATGATTCTGGCTAAAGATTCATCAATTTTGTTTATCTTTTATATATATTTTTAAGTATCTATACCATTTATTTCTGCTCTGATCTTAATCTCCTTACTTCTACTTACCCTGGGTTTTTCTTGTTCTCTAATTCTTTAAGTTGTAGGGTTAAATAGTTTATTATTAATTTTTCTTATCTTTTGAAGTAGGCCAGTAGTGCTATGAACTTTGCTCTCAGGAGTACTTTCACTGTGTCCCACAGATTTGGGGTTGTTGTGTGTTCGTTTTCTTTTGTTTCCAGGAAATTTTTTTCTTTCTTTCTTGATCTCTTTGGTAACCCATTCATTGTTTAATAACATGCTATTTATCTTCCATATATTTGAATGTTTTAAGTGTTTTTATTATAGTTGATTTCTAATTTCATGCCAGTGTGATTCGAGAAGATGCCTGATATAATTTCAACCTTCTTGAACTTTCAGAAACTTGTTTGTATCCTAACATGTGGTCTATCTTTGAAAATATCCCATGTGCACTTGAGAAGAATGTATACTCTGTATCTTTGGGATGAAATGTTCTGTAAATGTCAATTAATTCCATCTCATCTAGTGTGTCATTTAGGATTTGTTTCTTTGTTGGTTTTTTGTCTAGAAGATCTATCCAGTGATGTTAGTGGGGTGGTGAAGTCCCCTACTATGATTGCATTACTGTTCATCTCTCCTTTCAAGTCCTACAGAGTTTTTTAATATATTTTGGATGCTCCTGTATTAGGTGCATATATGTTTACCAGAGTTATTAGCCTCTTATTGTATCAATCCCTTTAGCATTATGAAGTAACTTTCATTGTCTCTTGTTATGGCCTTCACTGTGAAGTCTATTTTGTCAGATATGAGTATTGCTACCCCAGCTTTTTTTTTTTTTCCCATCCCTTCATTTTCATTCTGTGTGAGTCGTTTGTTCTAAGGTAAGTTTCTTGTAGACATCATATATATGGATCATGTTTTCTTATTCATTCAACTACTCTATGCCTTTTACTTGGAGTATTTAATCCACTTACACTTAAGGTCATTATTAATAGGTACTTATTTGTTGGCATTCTTACTCTTTATGCCTGTGTTCTTCTCTTTCTATTTCTTCAAAGAGATAGAGAAAGATATAAACAAGTGGAAGAAACTACTGTGTCCACAGGTTGGTAGAATCAACATCATTAAAATGTCCATACTCTCCAAAGCAATCTAAACATTCAATGCAATCCCAATGTCATGTTTCACAGATCTAGAACACACACTCCAAAAATTTATATGGAACCAAAAAGATACCTAATACCTGCAGCAATCTTGAGAAGAACAACAAAGTTGGAGGGATCACAATACCAGATATCAAGTGTACTACAAAGCAACTGTATCAAAACAGCCTGGTACTGGCACAAGAACAGGCATATAGATCAATGGAAAAGAACAGAGACCCCAGAAATTAACACAAGCCATTATGTTCAATTAATATTGACAAAGACAAGAGCATACAATGGAGTCAAGACAGTCTCGTCAATAAATGGTGTTGGGAAAACTGGATAGGTACATGCAAAAAAAATAAACTAGACCATAAATTTACATCATACACAAGAATAAACTCAAAATGGGTAAAAAGACCTAAATATAAGTTGTGAAACCATAAACATCTTAGAAGAAACCATAGGCAGCAAAATCTCAGACATCTCTCATAGCAATATGTTTACTGATACATCTCCTAGGGCAATGGAAACTAAAGAGAAAATAAACAAATGGGACTACATCAAAATAACAAGCTTATGCAGAGCAAAAGAAACCATCAACAATGTGAAAAGAGAGCCCACTGCATGGGAGAATATATTGGCCAATGATACATCCGATAAGGGGTTAATTTCCAAAAATATATAAGGTACTCATACAATTTAACAAAAGAAAGTCTAACAATCCAATTTAAAAATGGGCAAAAGACTTAAATAGACACTTCTCCAAAGTGGATATACAGAAGGCTGAGAGACATATGAAAAAATGCTCTAAGTTACTAATCACTCAAGGGATGTAAATTAAAACGACAATGAGGTATCATCTTGCACCTGTCAGAATGGCTATCATCAAAAATTCAACAAAAGACAAGTGTTGGTGCGGATGTGGAAAAAAGGGTGGGAATGCAGACTGGTGCAGCCACTATGGAAAACTGTATGGAGTTTCCTCAAAAAATTAAAAATGGAACTCCAG